GGAGGAGGAGTAGGAGAAGGAGAAGGAGCGGGAGGAGGAGGGAGGGGCAGGGGGTAGGAGGAAGGAGGAGGAGGAGGAGGAGGAGGAGGAGGAGGAGGAGGAGGAAGATCGCCGTCCCCGTCGTCTCCTCCAGGGACCTGTCCAGCTCCTGGCGGTGGAAGTAGACGGCGGAGCCCGCCCTCGGGACCCAGCTCTCCTGAAGCGCCCCGGACAGCATCTGCAGCGGGGCCGCGGCATCCAGTGTCGACTCGAGGGGGGTGGGGGGAAGAAGAAATTCCAACCTCTGGTCATCGTCCTCCTGCTCTGGTCGATCCTCCTCCTCCTCATCAACTTCTTCCTCCTCCTCATCCTCCTCCTTCTCCTCCTCCTCCTCCTCCTCCTCCTCTCCCTCAATCCCGTGTCCTTCCAAGTTCGCGGGCCCAACACGCCAAAGGCGTGCTAAGATCTCTGGTAAAAGGTTCAGAATGTCAGTGTTTCCTACTTCGCGTGCTGGAGGCAGCCCGTGGGGGTCCCCGGGCGACACGTCCCCCGCGACAAACCCGCCGGACTCCCGCCCGACTCGGTTCAGAGATTGTTTGCGTCCCGGGCATAGCGATCACGGCCCCCAAGAGCGCTCCAAGAGAGCTCCACGGGGCCCGCAGGAAAGCCCAAGCGGAACCGATACGGCCCAAAAGCGCTCCACGACGTTCAAGATGGTTTCTTGACCGTCCATGAGGCCGAGCGTCCCAAGAACACCACCAAGGGGGCCCAGAGAGGCAAACATAACTGGTTTCCCATCATTGATTGAACGATTTGGGCACTTTCGTTTTTCGGAATTCCGACAGTCCGAGACAGCTCAAGAGGCCCCAAAGATCATCACCCCAGGAGGGCCCCACGAGGTCCAAGAGAGCCCACAGACTGCCCAAGAGGCCCCCAAGAGAGCTCATGAGGACCCCAAGAGGGCGGGGGAGCCCGAACTGAGATTTCGAGCACTACCCCCAAACATTGCCAGAAGGCCCCCTAAAAGGGGCCCCCAGAGGCTCCCAAGAACCCCCCAGGAGGCTCCAAGAGGCTCCCAATATGCCGCCAAGAGGTCCCACGGGGTTCCAAAAATGCCCCCTCAAGCACTTAAGCAAGGGCCAACCATGCTGCAATATGGGCCGGCGGAGTGAGCAAAGCGATTAAGTAAGTCCTAGGTCCGATCAGCGGCCCCGCCAGGTACGGCGCGTGAGATGGCCGCGAGGTTGTCTGCAAGGATTGTGTGTTTCGTGATAGACATATGTTCGCCTGTTTCCTGGAAGAGTCCTGTATTCTGTCCAGGGCCGACCCCCCCTCGCTGCACGCGTCGTCATGAAATCGTTTCCAGCGCCCAAGACGCTCCCAAGACGCTCTCTGGCGCTTGTGTTCGGCCTCCAGCGGCCCAAGAAGCTCCCAAGACGGATTCCAAGACAACCAAGATGACACCAAGACCGCTCAAGATGGCCAAAGACGGCATGACAGGCTCCCAGACGGCCTCAAGACGGCTTGAGAGGGTCCCAAGACAACCCCAAAAAGCTCCAAGGGGCCCTCCAGGAGAGCCCGAGGAGGAAAATATGAACTTCCATTGAAGTTCTCGCCTGTTTGGGCTTCCGACCGCCCCAGACGGCCCACGAGGCCTCCAAGATAGCTCCAAGAAAGCCGATGAGGACCCGAAGAGGCCCAAGCCCGTCCAAGAGGACCCCAGGACTGCCCAACAGCCTCACGAGAGAGCTCCAAGACGGCCCCAAAGCGTTGCAAGACGGCCTCCGAAGGCGTCAGACGGGCAACGAGCCCCAAGACGGCCCACGAGGCCCCAAGAGGCCTCCAAGAGGCCTCAAAGAGGCCCCTTAGAGGCCCCTAAAGGCCCCCAAGGGGCCCCCAAGAGACTTCCGGGAGGCTCTCAGAGACCCCCAAGAGAGCCCTCAAGAGGCCTTCTCCTCCTTGTCTTCATTTTCTTCTCCTCCTCCTCCTCCTCCTCCTCCTCCTCCTTATCCTCCTCCTCCTCCTCCTCCTCCTCCTCCTTCCTACCGCGCGGACGAACATGAAGTCGAACTTGTCAGACTGCTCGCTGAACAGCAGCGGGACATGAGCTCGACCTTCCCCTGCCGCGCGGACGAAGTCGAGGTCGAGCTCACGACCCGTCCCAGATCGGACCTGCCGTTCCTGAAGTCAGCCTCCTTTCTGCTGCGCTGTTGCAGAGGCGCGGTGGCAGGGTTTGGCCGCATGCGCCCGGACAGTCCTCCCTGGGTTTGGCCGCAAGCCCCTCCTCCTCCTCTCTCCTCCTCCTCCTCCTCCTCCTCCGCCTCTTCCTCCTCTCCTCCTCCTTCTTCCTCCCCTCCTCCCCCCTGTCCCTCCGTCCTCCTCCTCCTCCTCCTCCTCCTCTTCTTCCTCCTCCTCCTTCCTCCCTGGGGCTCCACCCCGCGGCCAGCGCGCTCCGCCGGCCCCGAGGGCCCTGGCTGCGCCCTGGGCGGCCGCTGCCCGCCGCTCTGCCCCCACATCGAGCACGCCCCCGAACGGGAGGCCTCCGGATGGCCTCTGGACGACGCCGTCTGGACGTCTCGGGGCCATGCCGGGGCTCGCTTCGCCGATCTGCGGTTCGAATGCTTCAGCGTCGGAAGTGTCCATCGCAGAAGCGAGAGCGGGGAACCGTCCCAAATCTATCCGAAATCGGCACCTTCCCCCCGAGAGCCGAGCATCCGCGGCTTCGTACAACGTTTCTGGATCTCGGGCAGCGCGAACACGCAAGCTGTCGCGGACAGCGCTGACATGAGCTCGGCCACCCTGTCAGCGCTGCCTTGAACAAGGCCGCCTGCGTCTCGCGTTGGCCTCTGGCGCCAGCAGCTGAACGACCATGCTCCGGGGCCCAAAAGCGTGGATTACAGCTGCCCGCCGTGGACGTTTTACGACGCCAAGATCTGATGATCACAGCGGCTCACGTCGCGACGACGTCGGCGCCGTGTCCTGCCACCGCGAAGTTTGTGTAACCTTGAAGGATCGCGGCTGTCCGATAGCGCGGATCGTTGGCAACCCGCCAATGCGAGGCCACTGCTGGCGTTCAGTCTTGCACGCCTGTGCTGAGGCCGCCGCCGCAGAAACACGGCGCCAGTGTAGTTGCTGGAACCGACTGCGCTCCAAGGCTGAGGCAAAACTGCGCGGGGTGGAATCCTCGCAACGAAGGATCTGAAGGGTCGACTTTCGACCGCCGTCGTTCGGACCCGGTTTCTGTATGCGTTTTTGCTGTTGTCCGCGAAGGTTGCCGGAGCAATGCGACTCTTCACAGCTTCGCAACGTGGCTTGCATGCGCGAAGGTGGAGCGAGTGGATTCACGAAGAAACGCACAACAACAGGAAGCGTAATCAACACTCCCGACGACTCGAAAGAGATCTGAATGCAGACTTCTAAGACTGCTGGCTGAATGTGGCTCTGCGCAACATTTCTTGCGCATGTTGGGGGGCGCGCGGTTGCGCCCGCAGCGTCAGTGGCCCGCGGTGGCCCGCGGCTGAACAAGATATGCACAAGGACGGAACGGAGCGACAAGAGCAGGAGGGGGACCGAGAGGAAGCAGCATGACGGTGATGACAGCGGAGCCTCTCCGCAACCCACCGTCCTCACTCGATCCCCGACCCTCCATCCTCGAGCATCGATCCTCGGGCCTCGCCTGTCACAGACACGCCCTCGAGCCTCGAGCCCCTGTCCTCGAGGCAGCCCCCGGAGGCGCCTCCTCGCAGCACCCGCCGGTGCCCGCGCCCGCCCCCGGCGGGCGGACGACGCTGCCGTCCAGGAGGGCCAGGAGCTCCTGGCGTGCCGCTGGGGGCTGGGGCGAGGAGGAGGAGGAGGAGGAGGAGGAGGAGGAGGAGGAGGAGGCGGAGGAGGAGGAGGAGGAGGAGGAGGAGGAGGAGGAGGAGGAGGAGGAGGAGGAGGAGGAGGAGGAGGAGGAGGAGGAGGAGGAGGAGGAGGAGGAGGAGGAGGAGGAGGAGGAGGAGGAGGAGGAGGAGGAGGAGGAGGAGGAGGAGGAGGAGGAGGAGGAGGAGAAGGGGGGGGGGGCGCCCGTCAGCGAGGCCGCCCGGAAAGAGAGCATATCAGGGCCGCGAGGCGGCGAGTCCTGCTGCCGAGCCCGCCGCGGCCCTCTTCCGACAGAGCGACGATAGGTGGGGGGCCCGCCTGCTGCCCGCGCGCAGGCCCCTCACCGCCCGCGCCCTGCTGCGCTGCGCTCGGCCCCAGACTTCAGATGTTCTCACCCACTTTCGCCTCGAGCACCAGAGAGAACTTCGAGCGCCAGGAGATAGCTGAAGCTGGAGGATTTTCGCGCGTCGGGCCCTGGGACCGCTTACTGGACTGCTCATGTGTTGAAGGTCTCCTCGGGGCCGAGACCGCCCCGCCGCGAGCGCCACCACCCCGAGGGGCCTAAGGGCCAACGCAGTCGGGGTCGACGGGCCAGCGCTCCAGGGGGGGGGGGACGCCTGCATGCTCGTCCGTGCCACCTGGCCCCCGGCCGCCCCTCCCTGGCCCGCGCCCGGGGGTGCGCCGTGCAGGCCGGGCAAGCGCGGCGGCACTGCGTTCCCCCCAGGCCCTGCCCCAGCAGTGGGCAAGCCCCGCAGCCCCCCACCCTCGAGCGGCCCGCCGAAGGCCGGACAGGCCACCAGAGCGGTCGGGCGGGCTATAGGCGGGCTCGGCCTGCGCAGGGGCTCGCTGGCAGCCCGCGGGTTCCAGCGATGCCCAGGAGGAGGAGGAGGAGGAGGAGGAGGAGGAGGAGGAGGAGGAGGAGGAGAGGAGGAGGAGGAGGAGGAGGGGAGGGGGGGAGGGGGAGGAGGAGGAGGAGGAGGAGGAGGAGGAGGAGGAGGAGGAGGAGGAGGAGGAGGAGGAGGAGGAGGAGGAGGAGGAGGAGGGTAAGCAGAGGGGTGAGGGGTAATGGGAAAGGCGCCTCGCCCATCAGCGCGGCAGGGCAACCTCCCAGGCGCGGCCCCTCGGCCGGGCTGGGGCCCAGCGCACGGCGCGCTCCGAGACGGGGAGGGCGGACAGGGGCGAAGGGAATCGAGGAGGAGGAGGAGGAGGAGGAGGAGGAGGAGGAGGAGGAGGAGGAGCGAGCGTACCCAAGGAGGAGGAGGAGGAGGAGGAGGAGGAGGAGGAGGAGGAGGAGGCGGAGGAGGAGGAGGAGGAGGAAGCGCGGGGGGGCAGCAAGGGGGGCAGGGGCATCGGGGGCGACGATCCCAGGCCCACCCCCACAGCCCCCCACCACCCCAAACAACCGCGCCGGGCTGCTTCGGGGCAGTCGGGCGGGCAGGGCAGGCAAGGCAGGCGGCCTCGGCTCGAGAGGCCATCTCCCCAGCCCCCCACCACCCCAAACAACCGCACCGGGCTGCTTCGGGGCAGTCGGGCGGGCAGGGCAGGGGTCGGGGAGCCCCGGCCCAACCCCCCAGCCCCCCACCACCCCAAACGCAGGGCAGGCAGGGCAGCCTCGGCTGGGGACATCCAGGGGAGATCAGCAGCAGCAGATCACTCAACAACGGAGGCCCGACCAGCGGGGGGGGTGGGACCCGGGACAGAAGCGACCCAGAGGTAGGCAACTCTTGGGCTTGGTACGAGTACTATTTCGTGGCATCCTGCGCACGTGTACACATGCCAGGGCGACTCGATCATTTTCCAGGACGGGGAGGACGGCCTGGGCGATTCGGTCATTTCCAGCTCGGCGACGGAGGCCGCGGGAGGACCAGGCCAGGCAACATCCACGTCCCTCATCGCTTCCTGTTCGTGCCGTATCTCCTCCCGAGGGACGGAAGAGCAGGGGGCAGGCGAGTGGGGGAGGGAGGTTCGCGGATGCAGGTGATGATGTGACCCAGGCGCGCAGGAAGAAAGCGACCACGCCAAGAATCGAGGGATCTCAACAGAAAGCCGGCATGGTGCATGGTGAGAAACCGAGCCGGAAGAGAGACCGTCGTCGAGGCTGTCCCTGGGCAGGGGGGCAGGCGAGGGGGGGGCAGGCGAGGTGGGGCAGGAGGGGCGGGGGGGGAGACACGGGGAGTAGAAAATGGGAGGCGGGGAAACCTGGCGCGCCCCGCCGCATGACGTCCAGGCACGGGACTCAGGGGCCGCTGGGACACGTCGGCTCGCCCTGCCACGTGCCACGTGGGCGTGGATGTCACGAACAGCGGGACTTTCGCAGCAGATGCGTCGCTTCTTGCCGTCTCCCGCACTTCTGCTCCTCGGAGAGCTTGGCCACAAGCTCGGACGCACGCTTTTTCAGCTGCTCCGTCTTCGTCTCCGGGGCCGAGCATCTCCAGAGCCCGCTGTGACTGCTCGGCATCCAGAGAAATGACGTCGGGCTCCAGCTTCGCCTCCCACATCTCGCTTGGCAGCGCCACAACAACCAGCGGCCAGTGTGCGCCCTTCTCGGACGGGGTGGTCCCTGCGTTGTAGCTCATCACACTGATCTCCAGCTTTGCCTCTCACATCTCGCTGATCAACACCAAACCCCGCTGCCACTTCCCGCCCTTCTCGCAATCGCCGGTCCCAGCGACTTAAATGGTGACGCTGGGCTCAAAGCAGCGCCATCGCCCATTGTCTCTTGCATTGTTCGCACAAGCTAACTCCAGCTTTGAAGCTGCCGATGTCGGGCCCCAGCGTTGCCTCCTGCATTTCGCCGAGCAGCGCCTGAGCCCGCAGCCCCTCTTGGCCTCTTGCGCACGCGCTGATGCCAGCGCTGTAGCTGCGGACGCTCGGCTTCAACTTCGCCTCCCACATCTCCACGAGTAACGTCCGAGCCCTAATCCCAACGTTGTAGCTGACGACGGCGGGCACCAGTACCGCCTTCCACGTCTCTCTGAGCGCTGCCGCTGGTCGCCCTTCCAGCCCGCGCTGATCCCAGCGCTGTAGCTGATGACGTCGGGCTACAGTTTTGCCTCCCACGTCGCGCAGATCAGCGACAAGGCCTGCTGCGACTTGCCCTTCTCGCAACTGCTGACCCCGTCGCGGTGATAAAGATGACGCTGGGCTCCAACGTTCGCGCATCTGACCGAGAAGCGCCGAACTACGCTGCTACGGCTCGCCCTTGTCGCACGCACTGATCCCAACGCTGTAACTGATAACGTCAGGCTCCGACTTCACCTACCACGCCTCGCTGAGCAGCAACGGAGCCTGATGCCATTGATTGCCCTTCCAGCACGCGCTGATCCCAGCGCTGCAATTGGTGATGGCATTGGGCTCCAGCGCTGCCTCCCACATCTCGCTGAGCAGCGCCTGCGCCGGCTGCCACTACTCGTCCTTTCTTGCACCCAGTGATCACAACGCTCAAGTTCCGATAACGTCCGAATCCCAACATCGCCTCCAACATCTCGTTCAACAGCGCCAGGGCCCGCGGCCACGTAGCTGGCTGCGTTGGGCTGTAGCTTCGCCTCCCACATCTCGCTCAGCAGCGCCAGGGCCCGCTGCCACTGCTCGTCCTTCGCGCACGCGCTGAACCCAGCTGGTGACGTCGAGCATCAGCTTCGGCTCGCACATCGCGCTGAGCAGCGCCAGAGCCCGCTGCCAGCGTTGGAGCTGCCTGATTAGCCTTTCGCATCGCTTCTGCAAAGCAGAGCGACGATCGCAGGGCTGTAGCTGATGACGTCGGGCTCCAGCTTCGCCTCCCGCATCTCGCTCAACAACACCAGCGCCTGCTGCCACTGCCCGCCCTTCTCGCACGCGCTGATCCCAGCGCTGTAGGAGAGATGGCGCTGGGCTCCAGCTTCGCCTCCCGCATCTCGCTCAGCAGCGCCAACGCCGGCTGCCACTGCCCGCCCTTCTCGCACGCGCTGATCCCATCGCTGTACCTGACTAGGACTGACCCGTGGACTCCGTCCACGACATCTTTCTGGAATGGTTCTCGGAGGAACGGCGGAGATTTTGTCGAAAACCTATCAGCACGGCGGCGGCCGGGGCGGCGGCAGCGAGACCGCGCCTTCGTGTCCGAGCTCAAGCAGCTCTCCGGCAGTTTGGCCGTTGCATGGGCCTCTGGGGCCGACCTGGGGCTCGATTGGGTCCCTCTTGGTCTGTCCGGGCGCCCTCGTGGGCGTTTCTGAGCCGTCTTGGAGCGGCCTAGGGGCTCGCAGGGCGGCCTGGAGAGCCTGGCGGACATTTCAAGACAGAGGACCTTCTGGCACGCATCATGGCCTTCGGCAAAATCCGCCACCGTGCCTGTACCTGGGTAATGGCTCAGAGGCGCTTGGGGTCCCTCTTGGAGGCAGCTTTGGGGCCTCTTGGGGGCAGTCGTGGGGCTTGCTTTGGGCTTCTTGGGGGCCTCTGGGGACCTCTTGGCGATCCCTTGGGGGGGTCTTGGGGCCTTGTGCGGGCGTATGGGGGCCCAGGGCTCGGAGTGTGTCAGGGTTTTTCTCTGTTCTTTGGCCCCCTCTTAGAGGGCGCCTCTGGGGCCATCTTGGGGCTCCCTGGGCCGTCTGGGGGGGGACGTGCTTGGAGGCCTCTTGGGTCGTCCTGGGGGCAGTCTTGTGGGTGTCTTCGGCCGTCTTGGAGCGTCGGCCAGCCGAGAAGGCGAGCAGGCAAAACTCCTTGAACAACCATGGACAAATAAATAATTTTGGCCTCTGGGGGCATGGTTCGGGGTACTGTTGGAGGCTCTTGACGGCCTCTTGGGCGGGACTTGGGGCCTTGTGTGGGCGTATGGGGGCCCAGGAGTGTCAGGGTTTTCCCCGTGCTTTGGCCCCTCTTTGGCCTGGCTTGGAGTCCTCTGGGGCCGTCTTGGGCGCCTCTTGGGCCATCTTGGGGCTCCCTGGGCCGTCTGGGGACGCGCTTGGAGGCCTCTTGGGCCGTCCTGGGGCGGTGTTGTGGTTCTCTCCGGCGGTCGTGGAACATCGGCTAACCGAGAAGGCGAGAAGGCAAAATTCCTTCCGAAACCATTGAGAAATATATGATTTTGGCCTCTGGGGGCATGCCTCTTTGTAGTCCTCTGGGGCCGTCCTGGGCGCCTCTTGGGCCATCTTGGGGTTCCCTGGGCCGTCTGGGGACGCGCTTGGAGGCCTCTTGGGCCGTCCTGGGGCGGTGTTGTGGTTCTCTGCGGCCGTCGTGGAGCGTCGGCTAGCCGAGAAGGCGAGAAGGCAAAATTTCTTCCAAAACAATGGAGAAAGTAAACATTTTGGCCTCTGGGGGCATGCGTCGGGGTACTGTTGAAGGCTCTTGGCGGCCTCTTGGGGGGGCCTTGGGGCCTTGTGTGGGCGTATGGGGGCCCAGGACTCGGAGTGTCAGGGTTTCTCCCCGTGCTTTGGCCTCCTCTTGGGCCTGGCTTGGGGTCCTCCGGGGCCGTCTTGGGCGCCTCTTGGGCCATCTTGGGGCTCCCTGGGCCGTCTGGGGACGCGCTTGGAGGCCTCTTGGGCCGTCCTGGGGCGGTGTTGTGGTTCTCTCCGGCGGTCGTGGAGCGTCGGCTAGGAAGGCGAGCAGGCAAAATTCCTTCAAAAACCATGGAACGATTAAGGATTGTGGCTTCTGGGGACATGCTTCGGAGGACCATTGTAGTCTCTTGGAGGCCTCTAGAGCCTTGGTGGGGTCCTCTAGGGGGCTTCGTGGACTTTGTTGAAGGCCTATTGGAGTCGCTTGGAGGCCTGTAGAGCCTTGGTGGGGTCCTCTAGGGGGCCTCGTGGGCCTTGTCGGGAGCCTCTAGGGGGCCTCTTGGACGCTCCTTGGAGCCTCTGATAGCCACTTCGGCGCGTCTTTGGGGGGAGGGCTCGATTTGTGACGCTCGGGGGCTAGGATCTGTGATCTGTGTGAGGGGTGTCGAAAAATGGCACTCCAGGGAGGGCAAAGTGCACGACCTTTCGCACGCGCTTCCGTCTGCCATAGAGAAGAGACGACGTCGGGCTCCAGCTTCGCCTCCCGCATCTCGCTCAGCAGTGCAAGCGCCCGTTACCACTGCTCGCCCTTCTCGCATGCGTTGATCCCAGCGCTGTAGCAAATGGCGTCGGGATGCAGCTCCGCCTCCCTCATCTCGCTCAGCAGCGCCAGCGCCCGCTGCCACTGCTCGCCCTTTTCGCACGCGCTGATCCCAGCGCTGTGGCTGACTAAGGCTGACCCGCGGCCTTCCGGCCGCGGAATCTGCCCGCTATGGCGTGGACGTGGAAGAGAAGCATCTCTGGGGCCTCGCGGGCAAGGGGTGGTTGGAGGGGACGGCGTGGATGGAGGAGGTGGTCGCTGGAGGTGGAGGTGGGCGAGGGATGCAGGCAAGCAGTCCTGAAGGCAGGAACGCGGTGGTGGAGGCGGTGTCAGTGGAATCACACCCATGTAGGCATGACATGGTGTGGACAGAAGCTGTTTCTCACGCCGCAGTCTGTGTTCATCATAGCTTCTGCGGGGAGGGTAATTAGCCGTGAGAAGTTGATCTGCTCTTCGCCGGGGCCGAATGATAACTGTATCTGGTAGTGTGGTGACAATGGAGCGAGTGGGCGCGGCCTAAGACGCCCGTAAGAGGGCGAGACGGCTCAAAAGGTTTCCAGGACGGGCCGAGAGGCTTCCCAGACGGCCCCAGTGGGGCCCACAAAACTCCCTAAGACGGGCCTCAGTGCGAGGACACGAATCGACCTTTCGAGCGCACCGCCCCAAGACGTCCCCAAATGGCGCAGAGATGGCTCCCAGAGGGTCCAAGAAGCTCCCAAGGTGACGCTGGAAGTTCGACGCTCCCCGAGAAGCATTCAAAGCCTCTTGGGGGCCGTTTGGGGGCCTCTTTGCGCCTCTGCAGCCGCCCCGGACGGCCCAAAAACTGTCTTGGAGACTGTGCAGACGGGCAGGCTTGGAGACGGGGCGGCGGGGGCCTCTACAGCCGTCTTGAAGATAGGGCGGTGGGGCCGTCTTGGGCCATTATTGGCTGCTCTCGGCGCTGTCTTGGGTGCGTCTTGGGCCGTCTTGGGCGCCTCTGGAGCCGTCCCGGGGCCGTGTGGGGGCCCTCCTGGTGGCCTCTGGGCTCGTCTTGGGGCGAGCTGGGGGACGTGTATAGCGGTCTGTGGGGACGAAAAACGAGATATAGTGAACATGTATGTCCTTTTTCTGTCGGGAATGCAACGATTCTAGCCTCTTGGGGCTCTCCTGGAGGCCCTCCTCGACCGTCTTGGGAGCCTCCTGGCCTGCCTTGGAAACCTCTGGGGCTGTCTTTGGGCTCCCAAGGGTGCTCTGAGGCCGTCTCGGCGCCCCCTGTAGCCTCTCGGAGCCGTCCCGTGGGCCATTCTTGGCTGCTCTTGGCGCTGTCTTGGGTGCGTCTTGGGCCGTATCGGGCGCCTCTGGAGCCGTCCCGGGGCCGTGTGGGGCCGTTTGAGGGCCATCCTGGGGGCCTCTGTGGGGGACCTGTATACCGTCGTGGACGCTGTGAGGACGAAATAACAAAGCATAGTGACATAGTGATTATCCCAGCAAAGCAACCTAACAGCGATGTGTAGGAGCATATCTGGAAGCATTCCCCTTAAGATTCAGATGAGAATCCTGCTGTAGAATTCTGCTGTTCTCGCAGTCGTAGTCGCATTCGCGATGGCAGTCGCAGTGGCAACGGCAGTCGTAGTCACAGCCTCAGCCTCAGCCTGCCTCAGCCTCAGCCTCAGCCTGCCTCAGCCTCAGGCTGCCTCTGCCTCAGCCTCAGCCTGCTTCAGCCTCAACATCAGTCTGCCTTCAGCCTCGGCCTCAGCCTCAGCCTGCCTCAGCCTCACCCTGCATCAGCCTCAGCCTCAGCCTGCCTCAGCATCAGCCTGCCCCAGCCTCAGCCTCAGCCTGCCTCTGCCTCAGCCTCAGCCTGCCTCGGCCTCAGCAGCCTCAGCCTCAGCCTCAGCCTCAGCCTGCCTCAGCATCAGCCTGCCTCAGCCTCAGCCTCAGCCTCAGTCTGCCTTCAGCCTCGGCCTCAGCCTCAGGCTGCCTCAGCCTCAGCCTGCAGCCTCGGCCTCAGCCTCAGCCTCAGCCTGCCTCAGCCTCAGCCTCAGCCTGCCTCAGCCTCAGCCTGCCTCAGCCTCAGCCTCAGCCTGCCTCAGCCTCAGCCTCAGCCTGCTTCAGCCTCAGCCTCAGTCTGCCTTCAGCCTCGGCCTCAGCCTCAGCCTGCCTCAGCCTCAGCCTGCATCAGCCTCAGCCTCAGCCTCAGCCTGCCTCAGCATCAGCCTGCCTCAGCCTCAGCCTCAGCCTGCCTCAGCCTCAGCCTCAGCCTGCTTCAGCCTCAGCCTCAGTCTGCCTTCAGCCTCGGCCTCAGCCTCAGCCTGCCTCAGCCTCAGCCTGCATCAGCCTCAGCCTCAGCCTCAGCCTGCCTCAGCATCAGCCTGCCTCAGCCTCAGCCTCAGCCTGCCTCAGCCTCAGCCTCAGCCTGCTTCAGCCTCAGCCTCAGTCTGCCTTCAGCCTCGGCCTCAGCCTCAGCCTGCCTCAGCCTCAGCCTGCATCAGCCTCAGCCTCAGCCTCAGCCTGCCTCAGCATCAGCCTGCCTCAGCCTCAGCCTCAGCCTGCCTCTGCCTCAGCCTCAGCATGCTTCAGCCTCAGCCTCAGTCTGCCTTCAGCCTCGGCCTCAGCCTCAGCCTGCCTCAGCCTCAGCCTGCATCAGCCTCAGCCTCAGCCTCAGCCTGCCTCAGCATCAGCCTGCCTCAGCCTCAGCCTCAGCCTGCCTCAGCCTCAGCCTCAGCCTGCTTCAGCCTCAGCCTCAGTCTGCCTTCAGCCTCGGCCTCAGCCTCAGCCTGCCTCAGCCTCAGCCTGCATCAGCCTCAGCCTCAGCCTCAGCCTGCCTCAGCATCAGCCTGCCTCAGCCTCAGCCTCAGCCTGCCTCAGCCTCAGCCTCAGCCTGCTTCAGCCTCAGCCTCAGTCTGCCTTCAGCCTCGGCCTCAGCCTCAGCCTGCCTCAGCCTCAGCCTGCATCAGCCTCAGCCTCAGCCTCAGCCTGCCTCAGCATCAGCCTGCCTCAGCCTCAGCCTCAGCCTGCCTCAGCCTCAGCCTCAGCCTGCTTCAGCCTCAGCCTCAGTCTGCCTTCAGCCTCGGCCTCAGCCTCAGCCTGCCTCAGCCTCAGCCTGCCTCAGCCTGCCTGAGCCTCAGCATCAGCCTGCCTCAGCATTCAAAATGTGGCCTGGGAGTTGAGTTCTGGGAACTCGAAGAACACGAAGTGGCCTACAGTTGGCTCCGGGCAAATCATGCCCAGGAATGGAGTTCTAGGGAACTCGAAGACCACGAAATGGCCTACAGTTGGCTCCGGGCATGCAACATGTGGCCCGGGATTGGAGTTCTGGGAACTCGAAGACCACGAAGTGGCCTACAATTGGCTCCGGGCATGCAAAATGTGGCCCGGGAATGGAGTTCTGGGAATTCGAAAAGCACGAAGTGGCCTACAGTTGGCTCCGGGCATTCGAAATGTGGCCCGGGAATGGAGTTCTGGGAACTCGAAGAGCACGAAGTGACCTACAGTTGGCTCCGGGCATTAAGAATGTGGCCCGGGAGTGGAGTTCTGGGACCTCGAAGACCACGAAGTGTGTAACTGTTGGCAAAAAAAAATCCCCGGCATCCTCCCCCGCATCCCGCCCAGACCCCCCTGGGGAGTCACGATGCTCTCTTTTGACCCTACTAGAAACCTATCAGTCTTCACTGTTAGGTAAAAATGTATGTTCCCGTCGGGAATGGGACGATTTTGGCCTCTTGGGGCTCTCGTGGGGGCCTCTAGGGCTGTCTCGGGGCTCCCAAAGTGTGCTCTGAGGCCGTCTTGGCGCCCCCTGGAGCCCCTCGGAGCCGTTCCGATGCCGTTTTTTGCGGGCATCTGCGCCCCGGAGGGCGCCCCAGAGGGCCCGGGGAGTGGGACCTTCTGGCACGCGCGGGTCCCTGCCTTGCAGAAGAGATGACGTCGGGCTCCAGCTTCGCCTCCCGCATCGCGCTCAGCAGCGCCAGCGCGGGCTGCCACTGCTCGCCCTTCTCGCACGCGCTGATGCCAGCGTTGCAGGTTAGACTAGACTGGGGCCAACCCGGGGACTCCGTCCACGTCATCTTGGACCAGTCTTGGCTCGAAAAGGCCGTCTTTTGGGCCTGTCTTCGCTCGAAATGGCGAGACGTTGGGAACCTTTCAGAAACCATCGAAGCATCAACGATTTCGTTTGCCGCGGCTCGTCTGGAGCGTCTTCGAGCGGTCTTGGGCCGTCTCGGAGGCACTCTTGGACCGCTTCCTTCTCTTCGTCCGCCTTCCGCTCTACCTCCGCCTCGACAGCCTTCGGAGCGTCACAGGCGGCTATGGTGGGTCTGCGGTGTACGTCTCGCCGCTTGTCAATTTTAAAAGCACTTGGGGCCTTGAAAAAATCACTCGGAGGGCTCTTGTGACTTTTTTCCGGTTGCCTCTTCGAAGCCTGATGGCGGGCGCTGCCGTCTCCTCGGGAACGGTTTGGGGGCATGTCGGATATTCTTTTCGAGCTCCTGGGTGCCAGTTGGGGCCCTCGTTTGCTGTCTTGCGGCCTCCTAGGGGCCTCTTGGGGCGCGGGGCCCTCTTGGGCCGTCTTGCGTTCTCCTGGGGGCCTCTGGGGGTCCTCTTGTGCCGTCTTGGGTGCCTCACGGGGCCGTCTGGGGCCCTCTTGGGCGCCTGTGGGGCCGTCTGGAGACCCTCTTGGGCCATCTTTGGCCGCTCTTGGGGATGTATTGGGTGCTTCTTGGGCTGTCATGGGCGCCACAGGAGCCGTCCAGCGGCCGTCTGGGGCCGTCGTAGAAGCCTGCTGGGGCCCTCCTGAGGCGTCTTGGGAGTCTTGGGGCGACCTTTGGGGCCTGTATTGTCGTCTGGGACGCTTTACAACAGAAAAACACGGAAAGTACGAACATGTACGCTTTCCCGAGGGTTTGGTATATTTTTTTTCTTGTGCGGGCTGTGTCGGGCGTCTTCTGGGAGCCCACTTGAAGTCTTTTCGGGCCTCTTCGGCCGTGTGGAAGCTATCTTGAGCGCCTTCGAGCGCTCTAGGACCGTCTCGGAGGCGCCTCGGAGCGCTCTGGTGGAGGCCTCCCAGGGCGTCTCGGAGCGCTCTTGGCCCATCTTGGAAGCGCACCGGGGCCTGCTGGGCCTCCTCGCCGGGGCCCAGGGCGCCGTGGGAGCTGTGCCTGGGAGAGCTCTCTACGCTGCGGCTCGCTCTCGGGAGCCTTGGTGAGAAGAGCTTTGTACTTCACCGATCGCTCTTTCAGTGGGCGTCTCTGGGCCTGCTTGGTGGTCCTTGTAGGGGTCTGTTTCATTCTGAGGCTTTCTTGGGCTGCTCTGGGAGCGTTTCGGGACGTTTTGGAGCCTTTTTGGGCCGTCACGGGGCGTCCGGGAGGCCTTGGACCGTCTTGGAGCTTCCTTGAGGCTGCCTGAGGCCGTCTTGGGAGCCTCTTGGGGCCCCCTCGGAGCTCTCTTGGGGCCGTCTTGGGGTACTGTGAGCCCGTTTCAGGGCTCTCTGGCGTCGTCTTGGGGCTTTTGTGGGCCGTCTTGGAGCCGTCTTAGGGGCCGCTGGCGTCTTCTTGAGGCGATTTGGGAGGCCTCTTGACGTGTCCTGGGCCGCTGAAGAGCACACAAGGCGGGCATGCTGAAAAGTATACGTTTTCATATAAGAACTTGACGATTTGTGCCTCTTTAGCGTGCGCTCGGGGCCCTCTTGGGGCGTCTTTGCGGCCTCTTGGATCGCCGTGGAGCCCCCCCCAGAAGGCTTCGGGCCCTCGTGGGCCGTCTCGGGACCTACTGAGCTTGGAGCGCTCTTGGAGGGTCTGGGCCCCTCTTTAGCGCCTCTGGGACCGGCCTGAGCGATTCGGCCCCGTGGTGGCGCCAAAAAGGGGCGATTTTGTGCACTTGAGGCCCTGGGCTTCTCGCACGCGCTTCCACCGGCCATGTAGGAGAGACTGGGGCTGACCCGTGGACTCCGTCCGCGACATCTGGCCAGGAGTATTCTAGGGGGAGCGGTGGGAATGGTGCCGAAAGGCTATCTGCCCCTTTCGTCGCTGGACAAGCCTCCCTTTAATAGACCTCCCCTTAGTCAAAACGGCCTGGGACTGAAACCGATGGACCTGGACCCGCAAAAATGACGGCCGCGACGCCCTCCCGCGAACCGAAAACAGCCAATGTACTAATCGGCGTGTCAGGGTAGGAGGTCTGTCCAGCCCCGACCCTTCCTCAGCAGCGCTCCGAGCTGCACCGGCACGCTCTGTGGCGCCTGCTGGCGCCGCCCGACGGGGACGATGACGGCGGCGGCGGCGGCGGCGAGACACAGTTTGCTTGCGGGGAGGTAGTTCGGGGGCGCGACGCCCCTGCGCGATGATCCCACGGTTAGCCACTCAGGGTCTCCTGGGGGCCATGTGGGGGCCTCTTGGAGCTTATATTGTGGGCTTCGAGGGTGCCTCTGGGGGCCCCTCATGGGCTCTCGTCGGTGCCGTTTGGGCCGTCTCGGAGCCGTCCTGGGCCGTTTTGAGGGCCTCTTGGGCCGGCTGGGAGCCGTCTTGGACCGTCTTGGCGGCTCTTGGGGCTGTCTTGCGTGCCTTCGGGGCCGTTTTGGAGCCGTCGTGGTCCGTCTTGGGCGCCTATTGACTTGGGGCCCTCTGGGCCTGTCTCGGGGCTCTCTTTGGGTCCCTTGTCGGCCGTCTGGGAGCCGCGTTGGGAACGTCTTGGGCGGTCGTGGATCGCCTGGAAGCGGAGAAGGCGAGCACCGCCAGAACCCTGTCAGAAGAAATTCAAATCAATGTTTTGTCCGACTCGGGGCCCTCTGGGGAAGCTTCCCGGGAGGACTCTCGGAGCACCTACGAGACCTGTCGGGCCGGCTTGGGCCAATCTTGGGCCAATCTTGAGCGTCTGGGGCCCACCTGGGGGCCTCTTGAGCCGACTTGGAGGCCCTCTGGGCCCGTCTTGGGGCTCTCTTGGGGGCCTCTTCGGCCGTCTTGGAGGCGTCTTGGGAACGTCTTGGGGTATCGTGTGGAAGCCGAAAAGGCGAGCACGGCAAAAACACTGCAAAAAACATACGAATCAATGTGTTTTGCATGGGGCCCTCTGGGGAAGCCGCCCAGGGGGTCTCACGGAACACCTTGGAGACCTGTCGGGCCAGCTTGGGCCTCTTGGGGCTCTCTTGGCGTGTCTTCGAGCCTCTCTGGGCGGCCCGGGGCCAGCCTCTGGGGGCCTGTTGAGCCGACTTGGAGGCCCTCTGGGCCCGTCTTGGGGCTCTCTTGGGAAGCTTCCCGGGAGGTCACACGGAACACCTTGGAGACCTGTCGGGCCAGCTTGGGCCTCTTGGGGCTCTCTTGGCGTGTCTTCGAGCCTCTCTGGGCGGCCTGGGGCGGCCCGGGGCCAGTCTCTGTGGGGCCTGTTGAGCCGACTTGGAGGCCCTCTGGGCCCGTCTTGGGGTTCTCTTGGGGGCCTCTTCGGCCGTCTTGGAAGCGTCTGGGGAACGTCTGAGGCCGTCACGGATCGTACGGAAGCCGAAAAGGCGAGCACGGCAAAAACCCGGCAAAGCAAGGAAGGTACATGTTTTTTCCAGCTCGGGGCCCTCTGGGGAAGCTTCCCGGGGGGTCTCACGGAGCACCTTGGAAACCTGTCGGGCCAGCTTGGACCTCTTGGGGCTCTCTTGGCGTGTCTTCGAGCCTCTCTGGGCGGCCCGGGGCGGCCCTGGGCCAGCCCGGGGCGATTTTGCCCCCATTGATCCTGCGGCCTTCTGGCACGCTGAGCCCCCGGCATTAAAATATAGATGACGTCGGGCTCCAGCTTCGCCTCCCGCATCTCGCTGAACAACGCCAGCGCTGGCTGCCACTGCCCGCCCTTTTCGCACGCGCTGATCCCAGCGCCGTAAATGATGACGTCGGGCTCCAGCTTCGCCTCCCGCATCTCGCTCAACAACGCCAGCGCCGGCTGCCACTGCCCGCCCTTTTCGCACGCGCTGATCCCAGCGCTGTAGATGACTAGAAGTGAAGGGGTGAGTACGAAGGGGATGATGAGTGGGAAGCGGGGGCGGGAATGGCGAGCAGCGGGGAGGGGGGATGGAGGGGAGGGAGGGGGGCCATAAATGGGGCGGTGTCAATTCCTCCCCTTATCGTGCCAATTCCTCCTCCTATCGTTTTCTCCCTCCTCCTCACCCCGCCACCCATATCCTCCAAGTCCTCGCATCCAACGCCCCGCATCCTGCTTGCACAGCATCCGTTTCTCATTACTCCTCCTCCTCCGTCTCCCATCGCACCCCCCTCCTCCTTCTCGCTCCTTATCCTCCTCCGCCTCTCGTCCTCTTCCTCCGTTCCTCCTTCTCTTTCCCCCTCATCCTTCTCGTTCCTCCTTTTCCTCCTCCTCCTCCTCCTCCTCCTCTCAAGATGAAATACAACTGCCCGAATTCAAACTCTTTTCTCCGCTTGCACCAGACATCAACAAATGAAATGTCACTGATGTGGGTGGGCCTAGCCCGGCTGAGCGCCACTTAGCGTCCTGGGGATTTACCTCAAGACACCCACTGAGCCATTAAGGCTCCGGAGCTACTGCTTGCAATGAGACCGTGCACTAAGAAAAATAACTTACCCGCCATTCTGCCCCGAGCTCAACCTGCGCACGGCATGAATCAAGTGTTGGTTGCCATTTCGCCAAGCAACCATGAAATGTGAAACATAGAATGCCCGGCCATATCTCAACGTGGCCACTCTCGCCTTTTCCGAGCAATACTCTTTGAAAACTCTGCTCAGCCCTCCCCGGGCTCACGCACTGTGGAACGAAAGGGGGGAGGACGAGGAGCCGAGGAGTGGAGGAGTGAACTTGCGCCTGCCGCGGATCTTCGGGGGGCTCCTCTGGGACCTCCCGCGATCGCTGCAGCGCCGGACGCACCAGCACGTGCGAAGAAGGGTCTCTACTGCGTAAGTCCGCTGTTTTTTTTTTTTGGGGGGGGGGGGGTCAGATGTGTGAAACTTGGCCAACCGTGAAATGAACGCTTCTTCGGCTTCAGCAAACAAATGGTGGTCAGAAGAGTTGTTGGCCAGTCTCCCCAACTCCGCTTTCATCCATCCCTGGGCGCTGCGAGGGTGGCATGTGTTTTCGCCGAGAGACGCCAAGACTGGTAGGCTTCCACCGCGGAGCCCACTGGAGCCTGCGGGTGATAGCCACATCCGGGCCTATGAAGATTTCCACGTCCAGGAAGCGTACATAATACGGTGAGATGTCCCATTCGTCGATGACGAAGCTGTCAAAACGGGACCACACACTGCGCAGCCTCGGATACCAACCAACCATTGGAGAGTTCACAACCATGAAAACATCATCCCTGAATCTTGCGTAGAATCTTATGCCGTACCTCGTATGCCAAGTTTGCGTTCGGATGTGTGGCTCTTCCATTTCTCGAATGAACGCAGCATCTGCGATGTCTTGCGAAAAAAAAGAAACCCATGCCACTACCCAGAGTGACGCGGCAGAAATCACCATCCAACGATACAGATTGATTTGACAGGATGCGTAGCACTGCTGATTCTACAACCTCTCGGATCGTCAGCTGGGCGAACGAGGCTGCATGACTTGCAAGATTGACCGGATGACCTGACATGTAAAAATCTTTGACATCTGCGTTGGCCAATGCGTCGCGGGGGCCCACCGCGATTGGACTCAACGAATTCAGAACAGATGCACTGTTCTTGTGCAGATGGCGGTACGACTGGATCCCTGGGCGGATCACTTCCACAATCCATTTTGCCAGGGCCACGTACTTGTGCCCCGTGCTAAAATGCAGAACACTTGGCGCCACGCGCCAAGGTGGCTTGTGAGAGTTGGTAGTGCAATCAATTCTGGAGAACACACACCCTCGTGCTTGTTTCAGGCACCTCTCCAAGTCCTCATCCTGGGTACGCGCGGCTATAGAAGCAACAATTTCACGGTATCTTGAAACCCTGCTGGGGCTGTACATGCTGATCTCGCTTGTCATGGCATACTTGCTGGGATCCATGGCGTCTTCCAGGAGGGAGTGCAACTCACCTCTCTGACCAAGACGAAGCCCCCATCCTTGTCTGATGGGCACGGCACCCATCCACTCCTGATCAGCATTTTCTTGGCAAGTCTGAGCAGGGGGCTCTGGTACTGATGGTGCCTCATGTTAGCCAGGCCTTCAGACCAAGCTCCAATCAGTTGCCGACGGAGATTCCGCAGCCACCACTCTAGCTCTGGAACAACTACGTGGTAGCACGTGGGCGTGAAACGGAATCTCGCCTGCAGATGTCTCCACGGCGACTGCGGTGCACCACGCTTAATATACATCCACCAGATTTTTGTTGATGAAACTGTCAACCTCTTTAATCGCAATGGACGTGTCAACCCCCCCCTCTCGTGCCAATTCCTCCTCCTATCGTTTTCTCCCTCCTCCTCACCCCGCCACCCATATCCTCCAAATCCCCGCATCCAACGCCCCGCATCCTGCTCGCGCAGCAGCCGTTTCTCGTTCCTCCTCCTCCTTCTCCTTCTCCTTCCCCTACCGCACCCCCCTCCTCCTTCTCGTTCCTTATCCTCCTCCTCCTCCTTTCCTCCTTCCCTTTCCCTCTTCTCATCCTTCTCCCTCCTCCTCCTCCTCCTCCTTCCCAAAACGAGCGAATTTGTGAAATGGCACGGCGCCCACCAGCACGACCACCCGCCGGCACGACCAGCCCACAGAACGACTACCCCCCAGCACGATCACCCCCCAAAACGAACACCCCCCAGCACGACCACCCCCCCCTCGCACCACCATCCCCAGCGCGACCACCCCCCGCACGACCACCCACCAGAACGACCAGCCCCCCAGCACAACCCCCCAGCACGACTCCCCAGCACGACCACCCCTCAGCACGACCGCCTCCCAAAAAGACCCTCCCAGCAGGACCGCCCCCCAGCACGACCACACCCCAGCACGACCACCCCCCAGCACGACCACCACCCCAATGCGACCACTCCCCAGCACGACGACCCTCCAGCACAGACACCACCCAGCACGACCACCCCCCAGCACGACCTCCGCCCAGCTCGAAAACCCCCGAGCACGACAACCACCCAACACGACCACCCCCCCCAGCACGACCACTCCCGAGCACGACCACCCTCAGCAAGACCACCCCCCAGCACGACCTCCCCCCAACACGACCAGCTTCACCAGCACAACCCCCAAACAAAACGCCATGTATCAAACCGCTATCAGCCCCGACATTCCGCGACGTCCGTGTTCAGCCTCGCGCCTATGTCACGCGGGCGTGAGTGGTACCATCGCAGCGACGTCGTCACAAAAATTACCCTGGCGACGTACCCAACCCCTGCGATGCGGGGCAGGAGTAACGTGGGAAATTTGCCGAGAAGGCGGCGACGTGACATGGACGCATGTACTTCTGCGAGCGGCATTCGGAAGTTTCGCAGAAAGGGAAGCACGATGAGTAACTAAGTGAACCTCTGAGTCATTAAGGAAGACGCAAGGTCCAAAATGAGACGGTGGGCAGGGGGCTTGAAACGTCGGCGGGGCAGCAACAGCATGACATGGCCCCGCAAGGACGGCGAGGCCCCGCTCAGGTCTGCGCAGTGCCTCACTCCGCTGGACCCACCAGCAGCCTTCGAAAGTGGCGAGCCCACCAGCAGCCCTCGAAAATGGCGACAATTTCGCAGAGCGCAGCCCCCCAGGGACGGGGAGATCCCGCTCAGATCCGCGCGGTGCCTCACTCCGCTGGACCCACCAGCAGCCCTCGAAAGTGGCGACAGTTTGGCAAATCGCAGCCCCCCAGGGACGGCGAGGTCCCGCTCAGATCCCCGCGGTGCCTCACTCTGCAGGACCCACCAGCAGCCCTCGAAAGTGACGACAGTGTCGCAGCCCCCCAGGGACGGCGAGGTCCCGCTCAGATCCCCGCGGTGCCTCACTTTGCAGGACCCACCAGCAGCCCTCGAAAGTGGCGACGGTGTCGTAGACCGCAGCCCCCCATGGACGGCGGGGTCCCGCTCAGATCCCCGCGGTGCCTCACTCCGCAGGAACCACCAGCAGCCCTCGAAAGTGGCGACAATGTCACAGATCGCAACCCCCCTCCAGATTCGCGCAAAGCAAGAGGAAGCAAGACGGACGCGGGAGACGGGAGGCGGCAGGAGGAGGAGGCGGGAGCAGGCGGGAGGAGAACTGGAGACCGCAGTGCTCTATTCAAAACGAATACCCAACCAAGGAGGGCTGGGGAAAAAACACCAGAAGAAAGGTACACCCTGGCCGTACCCCCCTGTAGCAAGACCTTCGTCTCCCAGCCGTAATAAGGCCGACGATGTTGGGCGACTCTCGGGATGCTTTGGGGCCATCTTGGGCCGTACTGCGGCTCGCCCTCGGGAGCCTGGGGTCGAAGAGCTTGTCGTGTCACCGCTCGCTCCTGGGAGCCTTGGATCGAAGAGCTTTTTACTGCACCGATCGCTCATTTATTTGGTGTCTGTGCGCCTTCTCAGTGGTCCTTCTGGGGGGCGTTTTGAGGCCCTGTTCTGGGGCCGTTTTGGGATGCCTTGAGGCCCGTTTGGGCCGTCACGGGGCGGCTTGGGGCTCCCGGGGAGGGCTTCCTGGGGCCCTCTTGGGAGCCTCAGCGGCCCTCGTGGGGCCCTCTTGGGAGCCGTCTTGGGGCCCTCTCAGGCCATTTGAAGGCCCCCTCGGATCGTCGATGGGTCCTCTTGCACCGTCTTGGGGCCCTCTTGGGGGCCGCTTGGGTCGTCTTGGGTGGTCTTGGATGGCCTCTTGTCCTGGAGCGTGTAACAACGCAAAAGGCGGATATGCTGAACATGTATGGTTTCCCATCGGACTGTGACGATGGTTGCCTCTTTGGCGTCCTCTCGGGGCCCTCTCGGAGCGTCGTTGGGGCCTCTTGGACCGTCTTGGAGCCACCTTCTGAAATATTTGGGGCGTCTTGGAGGCCTTGGACCGTCTTGGGGCTCTCTGGAGGGCTTCCTGGGGCCTTCTTGGGTCGGGACTCCCTGGAGCCGCCTTGGGGCCCTCTCAGGCCGTTTGGGGGCCCCCTTAGGCCGTCTTTGGGCCTGCTTGGTCCGTCTTGGGGCCCTCTTGGAGACCGCTTGGGTCGTCTCGGGGGGGGGGTGGAGGGCCTCTTTGCCTGTCCTGGACCGTGTAACATCGCAAAAGGCGGATATGCTGAACATGTCCAGAATTGAGGAGGTGGCGATAGCTTCGGGTTCCAGTTTCAGAGTTTTTGACGTTGCGGCTCGCTCTCGGGAGCTTCGGGTTGAAGAGCTTACTGTATCACCGTTCGCTCCTGGGAGCCTTGGGCCGAAAAACGTTTTGCCTTACCGATCGATCTTTTATTTGGCGTCTGTGCGGCGCCTTCTCAATGGCCCCTGCGGGGGACTTGTTGGGGGCCCTTCAGGGGCTCGTGTGGGCAGTTCTGTGGCCGTGTTGGGGGCGTCGTGGGGCCCGTTGGGGCAGCCACGGGGCGTCGTGGGGCTCTCTGGAGGGCTTCCTGGGGCCCTCTTGAGGACCTCTTCGGGCCCTATCCCCCTCCTCCTCCTCCTCCTCCTCCTCCTCCTCCTCCTCCTCCTCCTCCTCCTCCTCCTCCTCCTCCTCCTGGAGCCCTCTTGGGGCCGCCTCGGGGCCCTCTCAGGCCGTTTGAGGGCCCCCTTGGGGGCCGCTTGGGTCGTCTTGGGGTGCTGTGGAGGGCCGCTTGGCCTGTCCTGGGCCGTGTAACAACGCAAAAGGCGGATATGCTGAACATGTATGGTTTCCCATCGGACTGTGACGATGGTTGCCTCTTTGGCGTCCTCTCGGGGCCCTCTCGGAGCGTCGGTGGGGCCTCTTGGACCGTCTTGGAGCCACCTTCTGAAATATTTGGGGCGTCTTGGAGGCCTCTGGACCGTTTTGGGGCTCTCTGGAGGGCTTCCTGGGGCCCTCTCGGGGGCCTCTTCGGGCCCTCTTGGAGCCCTCTGAGGGCCGTTTCGGGGCCCTCTCAAGCTGTTTGAGGGCCCCCTTGGGCCGCCTTGGGGTCTCTTGCACCCTCTTGGGGCTCTCTTGGGGGCCGCCTGGGTCGCCTTGGGGTTTCTTGGGATGCCTCTTGGCCTGTCCTGGGCTCTGTAACAACGCAAGAAGCGGATATGCTGAAACTGTACGTTTTCCCATCGGAATGTGACCATGTTTGCCCTTTGGGCGTCCTCTCGGGGCCCTCTCCGAGCGTCGTTGTGGCCTCTTGGACCGTCTTGGAGCCACCTTCTGAAGTCTGTGGGGCGTATTGGAGGCATTGGACCGTCTTGGGGCTCTCTGGAGGGCTTCCCGGGGCCCTCTTGGGAGCCTCTTCGGGCCCTCTTGGAGCCCTCTTAGGGCCGTCTCGGGGCCCTCTCAGGCCGTTTGAGGGCCCCCTTGGGCAATCTTTGAGCCCTCTTGCACCGTCTTGGTGCCCTCTTTGGGGCCGCTTGGGTCGTCTTGGGGGGGTTGTGGAGGCTTCTTGGTATGTCCGGGACCGTGTAACAACGCAAAAGGTGGATATGCCGAAAATGTAAGTTTCCCCATCGGGATGTGACGATGTGTGCCTCTCTGGCGTCCTCTCGGGGCCCTCTCGGAACGTCTTTGGGACCTCTTGGACGGTCTTGCAGCCACCTTCGGCGGTCTTTGGAGCGCTAAGGCCCGTCTCGGCACCAACGAGGTCGCCTTGGAGCCCTCTTGGAACATCTTACAACCCCGCCGGGGCGCCTCTTGCGCCGTCGCGGGCGATTCGACCAGGTGGTGAGGCCGTAAAGTAAAGGGGCGAGTTGATCCACATGAGTCCCCGCAGGTTTTGCACGTGCTTCCTCCCGCCATGTAGGAGAGATGACGTCGGACTCCAGCTTCGCCTCCCACATCTCGCTCAGCAGTGCCAGCGCCCGCTGCCATTGCCCGCCCTTCTCGCACGCGCTGATCCCAGCGCTGTAGCTGACCTGGGACTCGTACACCGTGGGTGAACAGCTCGTCGAAGCTGAACAGCTCGGGTGTCTCTGGGGCCGTGTCTGGGGCATGTTGGGCCCTCCTACGAGCCTGTCTGGGGCTGTTTGGGGAATCTGGTGGGGCCCTCTTGGAAGCCTCTGGGAAACCGTCGGAGAGGTTCTTGGGGCCCCCAGAACTCTCCGCGAGCGAGCTGCCGCGGCGTCTCGCTCCACTTGATATTTGGGAGCTGCCGACCTGCTGTTGGGCTCTTGTTGGGGCCTGCGTCGTGCCCCTCTGGGCCAGCGCGGGCGTGTGGTCGGGCCGCCTTTGGGAGTCTCTGGAGGGCTTCGGGGACGGTCTTTCGGGTATACCCGATGTGCACGTGAGCGAGATGCCCCGGCATCTCGCTCTGGGTCGATGTTTGGATCGGGCGCGCCTGGGACCGATCCAGCTTCGGGCGTTGCCACTGAACCAGCCCAAGACTGGGAGGCTGCCCGAAGTTGGGATGGCCTCCAGCCGGCTTTCTTGAGCCACGGGGCCTAGTGCTGGGCTATGAGGCCGCAACGCCGCCAGAGAGCCCCGAGATCACCGAGCTGCAAGCATAATTAGCCTAGCAAAGAAACCAACTACATGCAGTTGTGAGTACGCATCCAAGGCAGGCGCGACGATTCCGTCGCAGAACAGCTCGCTGGACCTGAGCAGCTTCGCGAAGCTGTGAGTCTTCAAGAGCTCTGAGGGCTTAGAGGTCGGGAACACGCATGTGAGGCTCTCGAGAAAGTCAGGGGGGTCTCAGAGTGGTCCGGGGTCTGGGCTGGGTTCTAGGGCTCGGGGTGGGGTATGGGGCTTGGTCTGGGACTTGCGAGCGCATGGGAAGGCCCACCCCCCCCTTGTCATCAATACTGCGAGGCCTTGTTAACAACGGTATCTGAGACCGTGAGAGCATGCCGCGGCCGCGGCTGGGGTCGACAGGAAGCTCCTGAGAGGGTCTGGGGACGCTCAGAGTGGTCCAGAGCCTGGAGAGGGGTCGAGCGACTTCGTGCGTCCTGTGAAGCTCCTTCTGGAGCTGTTGGGGGGCGTCCTGGAGGCTATCTGGGAGGCCGTTGGGCGAGAGGGCTCTGTGGGGTATGGGGCTCGGTCTGGAACTTGCGGGGCTCGCGGGGAGCCGTCTGGGTTCGCTGTGGGCGTCGTGGAGCCGTCGGCGAGCGGCCCAGGGGGCCTGCTGGAGCCGTCGGGGAGCGTGCGGAAGGCTCTCCCGGGAGGCCGCATTTGGGCCGTGCTGGGGGCGAGGGAGCCGTCGGCGAGCGGCCCAGGGGCCTTCCAGGCCTCGGAACAAATTAGCGAAACACATGCCACATTCATCCGTCAACGCCTCCCCCTCCCTCCAATGTTCAAAGTTGGCGGTGGGTCTGATGAGATGCACTTCGACCGCAGTCTCCCCCGCGCGTGCCAACATTGAGTTTGGGGGGGAGGGGGAGTGTTCAGTAATTGTTTCCCTCTACCGTCTGAAGGTGTCGGGGGCTCGGTATGGGGTATGGGGCTTGGTTTGGGGCCTGCGGGAAGCCGTCTTGGGGCGATCTGGGGGTCGCGGCTCTCTGGGAGGCCGTCTCGGGCCGAGCTGGGGGCGTCGGCGCGCGGCCCAAAGGCCTTCTGGAGGTGTCGGCGCTCTCGTGGAGGAGCCCGCCTTGGGCCGAGCTGGGGGCGATGGAGCCGTCGGCGAGCGGCCCAGGGGCCTTCCGGAGGTGTCGGGGCTCGGTGTGGGGTATGAGGCTTGGTTTGGGGCTTGCGGGAAATCGTCTTAGGGCGATGTGGGGGTCGTGGAGTCGTCGGCGAGCGGCCTTCTGGAGTCGCCGGGGAGCGTCCTGGAAGTGCCCGTGGCTTGCTCATGGCGTTCCGGGCAATGCTTTCCGCACGCCCTTCGGGCTCTCGGGTCACCCCAGGGCGGGCTTTCGACGAAAAGCCCTTCTCGCTTCGGCCAGAATTGTAATTCAGATGATGTTGGGCTCCAGCTTCGCCTCCCACATCTCGCTCAGTACTGACAGCGCGTGTTGCCATTGCCCGCCTTTTCTGCATGCACTGACAGTCACAATGTAGTGACTTGGGGCGAGTTGCACACCTGATCGAATTCCTTCGCGGAGCAACCGCAGTGCTGCGCTCCACTGCTTTGTCCGACCGCAGTTCTTGATCGACGCTTCGAGGGAACCAGCGCCTCCTCGAGACCCTGGAGCGAGTTCCAGCATCCGAACAGAGAAGGTATCACGGCTTGAGCGAAAAAGACCCTGGGTCAAGATGGTTCGAGCCCAACTCACTACAGGGCGGCTTTTTAATACATAGGAAGTAAAAACTATAGGATATTCATACATGGTTAACTTATGGATAAATTCATGCATGAGCTCATCGCTGTCAGAGGCCCCCAAGATCGCCCCAAGAGGGCCCAAGAGGCCCCCAAGAGGGCCCCAAGATGGCCCAAGAGGGCTCGAAGACGGCCCAAGAAGCCTCCAAGACGGTCCAAGAGGGCCCCAAGAACACCCCCAGAGGGGCCCCAGAGAGGGAACACGAAACAAAATTTCGAGCCCTCGGCCCTAAGAAGCCCCTACGAGGCCCCAAGAGGCCCCTAAGAGGCCCCAAAAGGCCCCCACGAGGCCCTCAGGAGGCCCCCAAGAGTCCCCCAAGCGGCCCCAGGAGGCCCCCCAAATGCCCCCCCGAGCGCCCCAGGAGTCCCCCAAGCGGCCCCAGGAACCCCCAAAGCGCCGCATTGACACCAGGCCCTCGGGCAAACGGCAGACATGAGACCGTATGGGCCGGCGGAATGAGCGAAGCGATTAAATAAATTCATGCATGAACTCATCGCTGTTTTTTAATACGAAGTCCCGCATTTCTATCATACATGACCCGCACGCGGAGCATGTATTGAAAACAGCACTGTACGGTTGGCTGCTTGGCGGGACTGCCGGCGGGTCGCCCGGCCGCCCGCACGCGCGCCTGCCCAACCGCCCGCTCGCGCGCGCGCCAGCCCGCGCGACCGCCCGCCCGTCCGCTCGCCGCCCGCCCGCCCGCACGAGCGCGCGCGCACGTCCGCCACGAGGGCGACGCCGACGACGATGACGGTGACGAGAAGATGACGAAAAGGATTATCCCAGTGCGACCCTACCTAGGAGTTGGACCCCTAGGAAAGCAGCATTAGTAGTAACGGTGAAGCTAAGCTAAAGCTAAGCTAGAACTAAGCTGCAGCTAAGCTACAGCTAAGCTACAGCTAAGCTACAGCTAAAGCTAAAGCTAAGCTAAAGCTAAGCTAAAGCTAAGCTAAAGCTAAGCTAAAGCTAAGCCCAATAGGCTTCCGAGACGGCCCAAGAGGCCTCCAAGAGGACCTTCAGGAAGGCCCGAAGAGGCCCAAACCATGTATTTCCTTTAGGGTTTGGAAGGTTTGGGCATTTGCTTCTTGTCGGCATTCCGACGGCCCCCAAGACGGCCCCCGAGATCGCCCAAAGATCGCCCGAGAAACATCCAAGATGGCCCCTTGACGGCCCGAGAGGCCAAGACGGCTTCCTGAGGGTCCCAAGACGGCTCAAGAGGCCTCCACGACGCCCAGGATGAGCTCCAAGACGGCCAAGATGGCTTCCAAGACGGCCGAGATTGCACCAAGAGAGCCAGATGAATCTTTCATGTGTCTCCAAAACGGCCCAAGATGCATCCCAAGACGGCCCGAGAGGCTGCAAGAGGGCCGGCAGGAAGGACCGAAGAGGACCAAATCCTTGATTCCAAACCGGTGTTGACAGATTTTGGCGTGTGCTTCTTGCCGGTCTCTCAACCAGGTCCATTGAACGTGGTACGAACCAAATCATGGACGGCACCTCCTCTGCGACGGTGAGATCTGGCTTCGCGTGGATCATCCATGGGCGGCGAACCTCCTCCAACCGATCCACCAGCGTGAGTGACCTCAAGGGTATTCTGCGCGGTCGTCACACCGTCTGGTGCTCTCGCGTGAGATTCGCTGGAGTGCTTCTGCACTGGCAGAGCAGCCTTCCCAGGAGGCCGCCTCTGGGACGACAACGAACTCTCCGGCGCGTGCGTCATCGAAGACGATCCGATAGTAAGATCAACCAATGTCCCAGCAGGACTGGCGATTGTACTTCCCAGGTTCGTCATGTGGTTACACGCTCGGCGTGCCCTGTGCGAGGGCCCCCACGGCCAAACTCACACAGGCTGGACACGGGGACCGCGCACGCCTCAGCACCGACGCCACACGACTGGGCGGGAACACTTCAAGCATCAGTGGATGGCCCGAAGTCCCCAAAGGACCAACTCGAGCTAGAGCCACAGCTGCTGCGTTCTCACCAATCGGGTAACGATGGCCTCACGACCTGGGCTGCAATGCACATCGCCGTAGACGACCCGGTAACAAGATCAACCAACTTCTCAGCAATACTGGCGACTCAACTTCCCAAGTTCGTCAAGCGGTTACATGCCTCGGCGTGCCCAACGCGAGGGCCCCAACCGCCCGACTCGCACTGGCTGGACAGAGGGACCGTGCACGCCGTAGCCCCGACGCCGCAACACTGGGCGGGAAATCCCCAAACACCTGTGGATGACCCAAGATCCACTACGGACCAACTTGGACTACAGCCACAACTGCTGCGTTTGGTGCACCACGAGGGGGGCAAAGGCTCCCGAAGGAACAGCATACTTGACCAGGTACAGGCTCAGGAACGCATTGACAAAAGATCCGCCTCCTCAGACGACCCGTCACCGTCTCCTCCCGCGGCCTCCCACTCAGCACTTGGGTGGGCATAGTTCCGCATAGCTGATGTGATGTGACTCCCTCTGCAGGGCTGCCCCCTCGACCAGGCGAGCGACACCGACGTTTCTTGCTAGCCTCCCGCATGGCATCCAACACCTGGCGTTTGGCCTGATCCGATACACCATCCACTTGCGTAGCCTCCTGCAAATCTGCATCATCAGTGCCAATGACCGGGTCCAAATGAATGGGCTCTTCTGCAGCGAAAGACGAACTGAACGCCGCCACAAACTCTTTATACGTAATTCGAAGCTAGATTGAGCACCTGCACCTTGAATCCCCGCAAGTAAGGTCTGGAACTCCTGCCTGCGATTGCGACGCATGCTGACATTAGCCAAAACGGGCTGAGTGAATGGCAACACGTGTTGCTGCCTCCCTCTTAGCACCATCCAAGGCCACCTTCTCATCTGAAATAGACGCCTCAAGCACTTGACGTTTCTTGTCCAAGTCGGCAGGTTGCATGAGCAGATTCCAACTTCTCCATCTTCCTCTCGCGAAGGTGTCCCTCTGTTCGGCACGCAGAAGCTGTCGACCTGGCGGGAGCTGGTCCTGGCGCGCCTGGCGCGCCTCCATGTAAGCAATGGATATGGCGTCACAAGAGGACTCCGGCAACACATCCTTGAACCGCCCTGAGGTGCATAACTGCGTACAACTCATCCATGGCAAATCGCAGAACTGTTCCCTTTGCTTCTAGATCCACCTTCGCCCCCGACCGTAGATCCTCCTCCGTTACCACCGTTGCCACCGCCTTTGCCTCCTCCAGATCCGTGCCCATGTCCCCCTCCAGGCCCCCCATACACCCGCGGAGCACGAGCCCAGAGATGTGCAGGACGAGGAATGACAACAGCATTGAACTGCTGCAAGTAACCCTTGCAGTGGAAGCAGAACGAGAAGTGGCTCGGGTTCTTTTTGCAACCACATGTGGGGCTCACGGCCCCAGACTCGTTCTGCCCTTTGGAACCAACTTTGTGACCACCGCCTTTGACGCCCATGCCAGGGCAGAGCGGGAGACGTGGAAACAGGCAAGCAGCCTGCGAAAGAGTGCGTCGGGCGTCCCCTCGATGGTTGTCGCAACGCGGCGGGGAACCTCCAAGCTCGAGCCCCCGCGACACGGGGTTCGAACTTGAGCCAAAATGGCTACGACTGCTCCTCCTCCTCCTCCTCCTCCTCCTCCTCCTCCTCCTCCTCCTCCTCTCCCTCTTCCTCCTTCTCCTCCCTTTCCTGATCCTCTCCCTCATCCTCCTGAAGCGTTTCCCGAACCGTTTCCAGAGCGGCTGGGGTAATGCATAGTCCGATCGTTTTGCCAAGCTGGGACCAAACATTTGGCCGCAGGGGCGCTTCCCCCATAGCCCCCCCTCCCTCAGGATGCCCAAGAAGCGCCCCAAGAGAGCCTCCCTCAAGAGGCTGTCAGGAAGCTCTCAAGAGCCCCCAGGAGTGCCGCAAGAGGCTTCCAACAGGCATCCAAGAGGCCTCCTCACCCCCCCTCTCCTTATCTTCCTTTTCCTCCCCTTCGTCCGTCTCTGTTGTGCCCCTTCGCTATTCCTCCTCCTCCTCCTCCTCCCCCTCCTCCTCTTCCTCCCTCTCCTGACTGTCCTTCGACTCCCCTCCAAGTACCTCCCTGAGAGTTTCAAGGGGGGGGCAATACTGAATCCACAGCTTGGCCAAGCTGGGGCCGAACGCTGGAGCCCTCTGGCGGTTCTCAGAACGGCTTCCCAGGTGATCAGACGAGCCAGGGACGCCGCAAGACTGCCACAGATGCCCCCAGGACTGCCAAGGAAACCACCCAAGAAACCTCCAAGAAGGTGTTGGAGGCACCTACGGGGCCGCAAGGGTTCCCCAATCATCTGCCAGGAGGTCGCCTCGTCCCTTCTCCTCCTCTCCTTTTTGTCCTCCTGCACCATCTCCTCCTTCTCCTCCTCCTTCTCCTGCTCCTCCTCACTGTGTTATCGGAGATTCATACCAAAGCTTGCCCGCAGTGGTCATGAGTGTTCGAGAGGCATCCGAGTGCCCAAGAGGCATCCGAGTGCCCCAAGAGTGCCCAAGAGGCATCCGAGATAGCCTCCTGATGGCCCAAAACGCGCGCAAGACGGCCTCAAACGGCCTGGAAGACTCCCAAGACGTCAAAGACTGTGTCAGACGGCCCTGAAGCACTCCAAGAGGGCCCCAAGTCGGCCCGAAAAGGCCCCCAAGACGGCGTCCGACGGCGTCAGGCGGGCCAGGAACGCCCTCAGAGAGCAATGCAATACAATGCGATGTAACGCTAGCACTGCAAAGCAAAGCGATGCAATGTGCTGCAGTGCAAAGCCATGCAAAAAAAACAGGCCCAGACGACTGGCAGCGACGAGGCGGCGACAGGGCGGCGATGGCGACCACGGAGCCGCCATACCGCCAGACAGGCCCGGACGACGGACGGCGACGGCACGGAGCCGCCGGACCGCCAGACAGGCCCAACTCCTTATTCCAGAACTCAGAACCCCTAAGAGCAAACATCGTTTGGGGAACCATGGGAAAAAATAAGCCGGTGTCGAGGCGAAAGCGCCCGGAAACTTTTCCAGCGATGCAATAACATCATAGGTGAATCACAGTTATTGCATCCAAGCAACCTCGAAACCGACGACGTGGACTCGCGACGAAAATGCGAAGGGAGGGGTCCAAGAAACTGACGATCATACTCTGGATCCCCCCAGGGGAGGGTTGCAAAGAAATGACGACGACAAGTCAAATGATTTTCTACAAAGTTAATAAGCGACGACGTCACGCCAGATCGCAGAAAATTCGACGACAAAGATATGACACCTGAGAGGAGGGGTTGGGAATGCAGACGACGGCGCGGCCTCCCGACCCCACAGTCCCCAGAGTCCCCTCTGCATATAAGTGAATCAACGACGGAGCGACCAGAAAAAACCCAAGTCGCTCCCTATTGGAGTCGCGCTCGTGATACAATAACTATGCTCTGACAGTGAATATTCGACGACGACGATGAGGACGACGGCGGCGAAACGACTCTAACGGGCGGGTCGGCCGGACGGACCTTAACGGACGGGTCGGGCAGTCGGGCGGACGGAAGTAGTGCGCACTTCATCCAGCAGGATATTGAAGAGGGCGACGGCGACGACGACGACGAGGACGAGGGCGACAACGACGAAAACGACGACGCCGACGATGACAACGACAAGGGCGATGACTAAGAGGGTGACAAAGACGTCGACGACGATGAAGGCGACGACAACGACCACGACCCTCACAGGCGGGCCGGGCGGGCGGACCCTGACGGGCGGGTCGGGCGGGTGGACGCTGACGGGCGGGCCGGGAGGGCGGACCCTCACGGGCGGGCGGGACACAACGTAGTGCGCAATCCATTCAGCAAGGCATCCACGAGGGCGACGACGACGAGAGCGACGACGACAACGAAGACAACGACGACAACGCCGACGCCGATGCCGACGCCGACGCCGACGACAACGGCGACGCCGATGCCGACGACGACGACGGCGACGCGGAGGACGACGACGACGACGACAACCACGACGACGACGACGAAAACGACGACGACGAAAACGACGAAAACGACGACGACGACGACGACGACGACGACGACGACGACGACGACGACGACGACGACGACGACGACGACTGCGACGACGAAAACGACGACGACGAAGACGACGGCGACGACGCCCCTACCGGGCGGGTCGGGCGGGCGGACTCTCACGCACGGGTCGGCGAGAGCGGGCGGGCGGACCCTGCCGGGCGGTTCGGGAGGGCGGGCCCCGACGGGCGGGCCTGGCGCCCGTCCCGGGGCAGCTGAGGTCGAGCGGCGGTGGTTGGGCTCGTGTCACTCGCTCCCTGCAGGGAGGCAAGCCTGCGAGCCTCAGAAGGCGAGCGCCACCAGCACGCCCGTGAGTACCGGGAGGCCCTCCGGCACGCCAAGGCATCTGGGAGCGGCAGGGGACCACCCCACCTTCTGCACGCGCCGCGTACGAGCAACCGCCACGAGGCCCCGCACGGACTGGCGGCGGCGAACACCGCGGTGTCTGCGAGCACCGCGCAGCGAAGGAGCACCACGGCATCCGTGCACCTGCCACGCCCCTTCCTCGTCCGCACTCGGTCCGTCCCGCAATTCCGCTCGTGTTGAGCGGCAGGAAGTGGAGAAATGGAACTCGCACGGGCGGAGCCCGCACGCACGGAAATCGCACCGGCCGAGCTCGCACGGACGGAGCTCGCACGGACGGAACTCGCACGCAAGGGGCCCACACGGACGGAGCTCGCACAGGCGAAACTCGCAGGGACGGGACTCGCACGGACAGAACTCGCACGGACGGAATTCAAAACAGCGGAAGCAGAAAATTCAGAACGCGCGAAAATTCACGAATACGAGTTCCGTCCGTTCGAGTTCCGCGCGTGCGGACTCCGCCGGGACGAGGTCCGCCGCGTGCGAGTTCTGTCTGTGCGAGTCCTGTTCCGTGTGAGTTTAGTGCGTGCGATTTCCGTGTGGTGCGAAATCCACGTCATAAGAATATCGTGCGTGCGAGTTCCGTGCGTGCGTGTTCCCCGTGTACGAGTCCCGCCCAAAGCGAAACCACAGCGAAACTGAGCAACATCGTAGTTGAGTCGAAAGGAAGCCCCTTCCCTTTGATCCCGCGGGGGAGGACTGGGGGGTGGGTCCCAGGGGGTGTCCTGGGATGGGTTCCAGGTCAGAATATCATCCTCCCCCAGGGGAATCCCCAGGAGGTCCCCGGGCCCCAGAAGGCCCCAGAAGGCTCCCAGACAACCAATACAGTCCAAGAGAGCCCCGAATTGCCGAATAATTGGTCCAAGACGCCAGCGATGGCCTCATGACGGCCCAGGCGGCCGCCAAAACGCTCGAAGAGGCCTCCAAGAGCACACCATGAGGGACCCAACAAGCACAGTTCAATGATTTTCTTCAGGTTTTTGGGAGATTCTAGTGTTCTCGCCTTTTCGGCGGCCCGACGCCCCAAGTCAGCCCAGTATGCCACCAAGAGATCGGCACAAGAGGGCCCCAAGAGGTTTCCAAGACGGCCCCAAAACGACCCAAAACGGCCCCAGCCTCCCAGACGGTCCAAGAGGCGCCCGAAACGGCTCCAAGAGGATGCCCACACGGGAGCCCGAGCGAACATGTCGAGCCCTCGGCCACGAGAAGCCCCCGCGAGGCCCCCGAGAGGCCCGCAGGAGGCCTCCAGGAAGCCCCCCAAGAGGCTCCCGAGAAGCCCCCAAGAGTCTCCCAAGAGGAGAACTGCCCCACCTGGCCATCGCTCGGACGTCCATTCCCTGCGTTTTTGTTCGGTTTCGTGCGTGGCTTTTCTCGCCCAATGATCAAGGATGATCCTCCATGGTCCCCACCGAGGAAAAAATGCACACGTCCGAGCGATGCCACGCCCCAAGAGGCTCCCGAGAGGAGCACCGCCCCACGGGGTCCAGCGAGCGCGCAACGGAGAGGCCCCACACGGCGCATCCCTCCGGCCTCCGCCTCGCGTCGGCGTCGCCGCCGCCGCCGACGCCGCGGTCGTGGTCGTCGTCCCTTACCAGCCTGGAACAGATCCCTATCCCTATGCTGGGCACCTCCTCATCACGATGCCAATCTTAGGGATTCCCTTATTTTTTGAGGGCGGATCCCTGAGATTGTCATCGCCTTTTGG